ACACACACACACACACACTCCTGTCTTCATGACCTCAGAGGACATTAAATTGACTTACATTGATTTTCTGGACACTTGCTCTCACCCTTATCCATAGTTATTCCCCTCCTAACCCTACTTTAACCTTACCTTAAACCAACCCTTAACCTTAACCTTAGCTTGACTTTAAAAATGTCTTAAGTCACCGAAAATCAAGCGATTTACATTACAGGGGCTTTTTTCCCCCATAAGGAAGACAAATCCCTATAATGTGGATGTTTAAATGGATTTTGGTCCCCAGAAAATGGGTAATATCTGGACCACACACACACATATGCACACACAAACACGTAAGTTCTCGTAAGGACATTGTATTGACTTCCTAACCTGAACCTAGCCTTAACTTCACCTCAGTTCACCAGGAAGAGTCCCAGTTAACAAAAACGCACACACATCCACATCCACACGCACACACGCACACACACATACACACACAGTAATATCTATCTGCCTTTATTCCTTATCCATTATTCCTAAGGGCAGACAAGCTCCAGTATTGACACGTATCCTGACACCAGCTTGGCCCTCGCCCAGCTTGCCCGGCCTAATTGGCCTCGAGACCTCTTGTTGGTGTGATCTATTGATCAGTCTTACTGCAGATACAGCTAAGTCACAGGGAGAGGACAGAAAGGGGGCCAGATATACAGAAAGTAAGCACTGCCAAATCTGGGCATGATGCTTTGTTACTCCCCTGGTAGAGCTGTGCAGCAAGCAAGGATGATGATAGGGTCCTCACCCCGAGGTGCAGGGGTCCGGATTCTCGCCAGCAGCTGATTCACACTCACGGATTGTCCTTTATTGTTACCGAGGGGATGAGGGCACCAACAAATGAAGGTTTGTGAATGCTGTGACCCCCAAAGATCTATAGACACTGTCTGCTTTAACAATCCCACCAGAGAGAGCGAGATGAAAACTCCTCCACTTTTTGTTTGATGCCTCTGCGGCAAATATTAGGAGAGGAGAGAAAAAATAAGGCAACCACCAAAGAGCCCTTGTGGACCAGGGGGTGAGTGAAGTGGTATGCATGCTGATCTTGTATCCATCAGGACAAACATCCTATACATGATTATTTTTGCCTGCACCTTCAACCTCCTCTCCATTCACATTCACATCCGCAATCGCATCTCATTCTCATCTTTTTCTATTTCGACTTCTCCTCCTCATGCTCTCTCCCGTCTCAAGCACTACAGCCATTTCAGTGTAAATAGTGTCTGTGCTCATCTGCCCCTAAATCCTCCTCCTTCTTTTTTCCCCACCCGACAGCCCTCCTTCAAATCCCAGAAAAACTCATAAGAGAAACATACATACGTTGATGGGGCCCGCCACACAGTATGTCCTTCGCTACCTCGTAAAAGGCAATACATTCCTCTTTATGGGATGCACGAATTTCCACTTCTCTACTGTGTGTGAGAGCTACATCCCCCATATGTTATTACATTTATGATGCATGACAAGGCTTACAATTCTCCATCTCCTCTGCAGCACATTGCGAGTAACTGGAGCTGTCCAAAAGTCATGGCTGTGACAACGGGAATCATTATACATTTTTCTCTCTGTGCGGCTGCCTCTCTGTATTCCTGTCCATGCCTCCCTCCCGTCTTCATCCCGCTCGCTGTGTGAGAGTATAGGTGCTCGTCGAGGTCTTCTCAGCGTGCTCTTGTCGGAGTGAGTGTCCACTCCTGGACCTTTCCACCAACACGAAATATACACGCCTGTGTGCACACATTCATGCTGACCCACTGATCCTGCCTCCTGTTTTATTGTCAATATCAGCCGACTCAAGGGTTGTAGAGGTTGACGGCTGTTGACAGGGGCTGGATTGTGAAGGTAAAGATGATGGTAGCTCTTGCAGGGATAGAATAGCTGTATCTTGCGACCTCTTGGAGGGTGTTATTATGCCGTTATGAAGTCTGCTCCCTATCAGACCTTCACTGAAGTGGGGGGTGGGGGGGTATATCCATTGCAGTACAAAGTACAAAAGCTGTTTCTCTCCCATCTTCCTACAGCTTGGTCTTATCTACCCCTATACTTCCCTTTCCCACATACAAGTGCACACATTTTACTTTTGTACCATTCCTGTATTTTTCAGTCAACACAGCCTGCAGTCCCCCTGCATACTCCCATGAAGGAATTTCTTTAACATATATATAAGGCCACAAATGAATTTATACACCTTGAAGTGTGCAGCATGCACTGCATCATGACTCCACTATAGCTGCTGTCAGTTGCTCAGAAGCTCCTGACAAGATAACTAAACACACGTGATCATTTTAGCTCATTAGTGATAGAACTACTAAAGTGATGTATCAGCCTTAGTACAAACAAATATATAAATATACAAACATACTGCTTGTACATGCACAAGTGAAAAAGATTAAATCAATTATGCTGGAAAATTGATGTGTTGAGTGTGTCTGCAGCACAGAGGAACAAAAGTCAACATTCAGGTATTTGACTTTTGCCTGTGTGCTTTTGTGTAATGGTGTGAAATTTTGACACATCTCTGGATATTGTTTTCTGCCGTGTTGGTGGTGGAGCTGCAGGGGTGAGAAGGTTGGTCCATCACCTGGGACCAAAATAAAATATTTCTATAACTATCGGATGCATTGCTGTGAAAGATATTGATGCAGACAATAGTCCCCAGAGGACTAATCCTAATCACTTGGGCTTTTGCTAATTTTCAGGTAGTAGACTTTTGTGGTTCTCAGTGAAAATATTGGATGGATGAAATAAATCTGATCGATGTTCCACTCAAGATCAATTGCACAAACTTTGATGATCCCTTCACTTCTCCTCCATCGCCACCATCCACCTCTCCACTACTCCTCTCCTCTCTACCCACCAGGTGGAGGCTGATGGCCGCGCACACTGAGTCTGGTTCTGATAGAGTTATGTTCTCTTCACGGTCACCAAGTGCTTGTTTGTTATGTGAACTGTTGGGTTTCTTTACAATATTGTTAGGTTTTGACTCTTACTATGCAGAGAG